GGGTTTACTTTTGGACATTGAATTCTATTCTATTGGTCTGTATATCTATCCTTATAATAATACCACAGTTTTTATTACTGTAGTTTTTTGATAAGTTTTGAAATTAGGAAGTATGAGCCCTCTAGCTATGTTGTCCTTTTTCAGTATTGTTTTGGCTATTCAGGGCCCTTTGTAGTTCTGTGAATTTGAGGATAACCTTTCCCATTTCTGCAAGAAAGCCTTTGGAATTTGATAGAGATTGCATTGTATCTGTGGATTATTTTCGGGAGTGTTGCCATTTTAGCAACATTAATGTTCCAATCTATGAACATGGGATACTTTTCCATTTATTAAGGTCTCCTTTCATTTCTTTCAGAAATGTTTTGTAATTTTCAGTGTACAAGTTTGTCACTTCCTTGGTTAAATTGTGCCTAAGTATTTTATTCTTTTAGATACTATTATAACTAGAACTGTTTTCTTAATTTCTTTTTCAAATTGTTCATTGCTTGTATATAGAACACAACTGATTTTTGTATGTTGATCTTATACCCTGAAGCTTTGCTGAGTTAATTTATTAGTTCTGGTAGATTTTTTGTGGATCCTTTGGGATTTTCTACATATAGAATCATATCATCTGTAATAGAGGTAGTTTATTTCTTCCTTTCCAGTTTGGATGGCTTTTATTTCTTTTGTTTTCCCTAATTGCTCTGTCTAGGACTTCTAGTGGAATTCTGAGTAGAACTGGTGAAAATGAGCCTCTTTTTCTTGTTCCTGATCTTAGAGGGAAAGTTTTCAGCTTTTCACCTGGGGTATGGTATTAGCTGGGGGTTTCCAAAAATTCCTGTTTTCTTGTTAAGCAACTTACCTTTTATTCTTAGTTTACTGAGTGTTTATATCATGAAAGGGTGTTGGAATTTGTCAATTTTTTTTCTGCATCTTTTGAAATAATAATGTATTCTTTTTCCTTTTGCTCTATTAATGTGTTAAGTTGATTGATTTTCTTATGTTGAACCATCCTTGCATTCCTGGGATAATCCCATTTGGTCATAGTATGTAATCCTTTTAATGTGGGTTGGATTTAGTTTGCTAGTATTTTTTTAGGATTTTTGCATTTATAGTGATTAGAGATACTGGTTTGTAGTTTTCTTGTGGTGTCTGTCTGGCGTTGGTGTTTAGAGAAGTTTAAAATATAGATTATTGCAGCTGTAAGTTCTCTTCATACATGATTTGAATTTGGTATTTTTAAATTTCTTAATGGGTTTTATAGTGCTGTATAGTGCTTATTTAATTAAGCTTTGTGGACTATATTGTAGGAGAAGGGTTTTAATGAAGGGAGTTGGCATTTTGTGCACAATTTTTTTTTTTTTTTTGGGTGCAAATGTAATAGCTTGCATTTTGTCAAAAGAGAGATTCTGCTTATTCTAACCTGTGTTAATATTTCTAATAAGATAGTGTTTTGGGTTGGTCTCAGCCTATCCATAGTGATGTTATTGACTAGAAATGCCTGGGGACACTCACCTGGGCCTATACTACTTGTAGAGCCCCCACAGACATTTCCTCAACCAAAGTCAATGTTGTGGCTGGACCAGACCTTGTGGTTCTTATTATGATTGAAAGACACTCCTTAGCATCAACCATCAGGGAATTTTGAAAAGAACGATTTATTACTCATGAGTCCTGGAGGTTACATGGCATGTCTGGGACCACACAGTGAGGTTGAGAGGAAAGAGAGAGTGAGAGGGAGCTAGTGAGCAGGCCTGGTGTTTTGCTTTTATTGGAGTCAAGGGTGGGGTGCCTAGTGTTTCGCAGGTTCGTTGTTTAATGGTGAATTTAAAACATAAGAGTGGGAATTAAAGCATGGGAAGGGAAAAACAAACAGTCCTCAAATGTAGTTATCTAGGTCTACCAGAGCATTCTTAAAAAAGGGGGGGGGGTACTTCATGGGTGGGGAAACTTGGCTCTATCTTTCATGTAACTGGCAGTGTGTTTATTCAGACTTTGAAGTAGATGCCTTGGCAAACAAAAGCTTAATGTCAGGCATTTATATTATAGTTTAAAAAGCTAATTATCAGGTGCCTATTCTACAGATAGGTGAGATATAGTGAAATTTTTGTTATCTAGAATATTGGGGAAAGGGACCTGTTTATAGTCAAATGGTTTAGTTAAAACAAAAGTAGCATATGTAGGATTTTTACAGGTTTTTATGTGAAAAGAAGATACTTTTTATCTTTCTGAAATGTTGAGAACAATGCAGTTCAGTAGGATGGAGAGCTAGGAAAGTCCTTGGTCCCTAGACTTCTCTTGTGTTTTAAAGCAAACCAGGATGGAGTGGGGTGGGGAATATATGGTAAGTATTTGAGGACTGTATTAGTTTCTTAGGGCTGCTGTAACAAAATGTCATAAATTGAGTGGCTTAAAATAACAGAAATTTATGGTTTCACATTTCTGGAGGCTAGAAGGGCAAGATCAAGGTGTTGGCAGGACCATGCTCTCTCTGAAACCTGTAGGGCAATCCTTCCTTGTTTCTTCCTAGTTTCTGGTAGTTTGCCAGTTATCTTGGTGTTTTGGGCCTTCGGCTGCATAACTCCAATCTCTGTCATTTCATGATCCCTGTGTGTCTCTGTCTTCACATGGCTGTCTTATAAGGATACCAATCATATTAGATTGGGAACCCATCCTACTACAGTATGACCTCATTTCAACTTAACTAATCACATCTGCAATGATCCTATTTCTAAACAAAGCCACATTCTGAGGTACTGTGGGTTAGGACCTCAATGTATCCTTATTCAGGGAACATCCATAATAAAGGACCATATATACATATAAAATAAATACATAGATAATTGGTAAAACACTTAAGTTAAAATAAAATAGAATAAAATTTAATCTTTGCTCAGGGGTGCTTCAGAATCTTTAAACATCAATGTAATTGTTATTAACACAATATCATTGTGTTTAATATTTGCAAAAATGCTGGTTAATAGGTATTCTATAATAAAGAATTTGTCTGGTCTTTGTCCTAGGTTCCTAGGAGGGAATCTCCAAAACCTTAGAATTTCCCAAGTTATAAGAGTGTCTCTTTTATTTAAGTTTGGGCCTTTGGACCACCACCTGAGTTTATGCTAGTGAGATGACTTATGGTAGGCTCCTAGATAGTTTCAGGATGGGGGTGGCCAAGCTTGAAAGACCAACTATGTGAATTAGAGACTTGGAGCTTTGGGCTAGGTGAGTTATCAGTCCAACCTCCAGGGTTAGAGGACAGGAGCTAGAGATTGAGTTTTATCACATGGCTAATGATTCAGTAGGCATTCTTATGTAATAAAACCCCAATAAAAACTCTGGACACTTTAATTGGAAGCTCTGTTTGAGCATCCTGTTTGGTGAGCATATTAATTACTAGAAGAGTAATGAGTCCTGATTCCCTAGGGAAAGGACTCAGAAGCTCTGTGTTTGGGACTTTCCCAGACTTCATCATATGGATCTCTTTATCTCTCTGGTCCTGATTTTATCCTTTATATTAAAACTGTAACTAAGTATAGTGCTTTCCTAAGTTCTGTAAATTGTTCTAGCAAGTTATCAAACTTGAGGGGGTCCTGGGAACCTTCAAATTTATGACCAATTGGTTAGAATTTGGGATGGCCTGGGACCCCAAACTTGCCGCTGGTGTCTAAAGTGAGGACAGAATTGCTGGGGACTATGGAGTCTGTTCAGTTTCAGGCAGTTAGGGTCAGATTTCCCTTGCATTAATTGCAATACGATTTCTAGTTGATAGACTATTGAATAAATCAGTCTGAAACTTGGATTTATTATTTGAATTTATATGGTTCTTTAGTTTTTAAAGTAATATTTTTCTTTTTATAAAGAATAATTTATTTATTTGACAGAAAGAGACACAGCAAGAGAGGGAACACAAGCTTGGGGAGTGGGAGAGGGAGAAGCAGGCTTCC